CGAGATGCCAAAAGCACTCTTAGAGATCCCCGTCGCAAGGTCGCGCGAGCTTCGTGTTTCCTGAAACCCGTTGGAGATCCCGGTTGGCGGGCCCTCTTGTTGGAAATCCCGTTGGCACCGTGCTAGGACACCTTGCTAGGACCCCAACTTTTCGTCTGTCTGTCTCGCAGCCTCCTGAAGTTCGGATCCCGGCGAACTTCCTGTGACGCCTGTGTATTGAACGGGCGCTGGGCTTGATGATCCCCCGTGGATTGCGACACGAGTCAAACCCGGATCCACAACTACTCCTCCAGGGACTCATACAATGTTGTCGCGACTGCTCGTTCGAACTTGGCTTCATCCAATGCCAAGCTGCGCATATTAGAACAAATTCGGATTTCGACGAACTTGTCCTTCTCAAGCGGCCTTTTGTGTTAGTGCGGCCTTTCCGGGTCGTGGTTCAGTCCAATCTGTGTTTGCCTGACGCAGTCTCTGCCTGTCGCATTTTCCTGAAGTTTGGATCCCGGGGAACTTCACGTTTCGGTGGGTGCGTTGGTTTCGCTTCGGACAGACACTTTTAGTACGGATCTCGACGAACTTCGCATCCTGAACTGTCCGGGTTCCTATTGCTAAACGGAGGACACTGCCCCATCCAACGCGGGCTTTGTGCGTCACCACCCGTCCATTCCCGATCCGGTGGACATCCGTGTTCCGGAAAAAACCGACGTGGTCGTCGCCCGGCTACATGAAGCATGTGCCCTTGTAAAGAATGATCTCGTTGCAGGTAAGAGGTCATTGCTGGTCTTCGCGTTAGAAGTTCGCGGGATCCAAACTTCGAGGTCCTCGGATAGCGTCATGTGACTGACGTGTTGAGGGCAAGGTGTGCCTCCTCTGGTTTTCGCCTGCGTTGTGCTTTGACTGCGATTTGACACTCGCTGGTGTTTTATTTGTTTTCCGTTGTCTTCCGCAGACAATATGTCTTCGTCCAGGGGCGAAGGGGAGCCTGCAGCGACCTCCGGGATGGGATCTGGGAAAGATTCTACAAAATGGTCGTCTATGACCTCGAGGACGTGGTCCGACCACGCTAGGTCGAAATGGTTCGTCGACTGGTGTTGTGCTGATGCTACGAATCCAGTCCAACAGCCGTGTGGTCCTGTGATCTTCATCGAAGCCAACAAGCGCCGCAGGGTTCTGGGGGCTGTCTTGCGGTGGGAGAATGCGAAAGGCAGTCGTCGATGGTTTTACATGAAAAATGTGTACGGTTCGAAGGGGAACGTCGTCACCGGTGCCAAGGGGGCAGTTCTCGACATGTGTCTGTTCGAGGGGTTCGGAGCGGGTGCTGCGAACACCCCGTTCTACAACGACCTCCGGCGGCAGGGCGGTTTGTTTTGGGTCGAGAGTTCTTCGACCTGTCGGAGGACAAGGGCATCGCCCTCGACGTCCCTTGCGAAGTCGGTCCCGACCTGGAACTGTCAATGCCTTTGCAGTCGTGCGGCGGTTGTGAGTCGAGCGGGGCAGCGGGGGAGGGGGGGGATCTGGGTTCCGGGGAGGCTACACATGTGCAGCGGGAGGATGTCAGAGGTCAGTTTGACGATAGCGAAGATGAGGCGACACCGCGTCCGCCGTTTTCGCCGTCGAGGGAAAGAGACAGGTCCGTGCTGTCCATACCTGGGGTCCGGCAACAGACCGCAGCAGATCCCAGAGAAGAAGGAGTCCTGTGTGGGTCTGACTTGGAGCCCGCCGAGGGCCATGGCGCGAAAGGCGAGGCCGTGGACGGGGAGGGAGTGCAGGGCACTCCCCAAAAAAGGAGGGGAGAATGTCAAGAAGAGTTGGTGGACTCTTCGAAGAAACAGAAGACCAAGACCCCGGGGACTGCGGGAGATAAACGGAAGGGGAGGGGGGTGGAAGAGGGCCACCCGTCCAACTTTGAAACATAAACAGCCTGAGTCGGGACCTTCTTCCCCATGGCCTGCCATCGACGTGGACGCCAGGTACTTCCTGGAGTACAAAGACGGCATCAGGACAAGGCGGGAGTTTGAGATCAGCCCGACTCAGATCGTTGATATAAGGGACTGGGAGAGCTTTACAACCAGCGGTCGCTAGATCCCGTCCTCGTGGAAACGATAAGGGAAGCAATGCAGTCTGCGTTCGAAAATAAAGAACAAACATACGAGTTGTCGGTCTTCAAGCTCGCACCACTGGGGCTTCAAGAACCAACTCCTGGAACCAAGGCACAACGTCTGAAGCCAGAGGAGTGGAAGGATGAGCTGGCGGGAGAATACTACTACTACGCGGTGTGCGGGCAGCACAACGCGGCTGCAGCCAGGTCGCTGCTCGGCAGCGAGGTGGCCAAGAAGTACAATTTTGAGCGGTGGCCGGTATGGATGGTGTACTTTTCCGACGATGACTTCGAAGGGTATTTTCTTGTTAGTTCACAGGATAACAAGAAGGACCTGAAGGCGCCTCCCAAACAGTTGAAACTTTCTATGAAAGACATTCGATGGCAGTGGAAGCATGACGGCTGTCCGAGAGCTGTGATGGGGAACTCTAGCGGGAAACAAGATCAGGTCCGGGCTTGGCATAAGTTTTGTACAACGGCGCCTCAAAACATCTTGTGGCTTCTTGCGGATCAAAAGGAAGAGGAGGCCATTAAGAAGCAAAATGTTGCCCTGCGTTCTTAATTACCTCTGGCGATGGCCGGGGAAAATGTCTGGAAACTGGCCGTGGAATTTTTCGAAAAATGGGAGACGGACAGATTGTTGAGCCACGATGGGGCGAAGTGGACCGTCAAAAAGAAGAAGGTCAAAAACGTAAAGCCTGGGGTCGCCTACATCCACAACGACAAATTGGGCAGAACGGAGGTGGTGTACAATGTCCCCGTGGAACCGCCGAATAAAAAGGGCAAAAATGAGAAAGAGGAGGGCGATTGGTCCGTGCAAGTGCCAGACCCGGACGCGCATTGTTGGAAAGCAATGGAATCACTCACGGACAATGAGAAGTGTCGCATTCTGAAAAATGTGCTTGCTTGCGAGGTCGTTTGGGTCTAGGCCGACTCCCCGTCGTTGGCGAAGTTGGGAAAGCTCAGCATGCAGGACATGGTTTAGCTGGTGAAGTGCGACCGCGTGCTGGTCCGGTTGTGGAATTACTACCAATTCAAGCATGAGAAGAGGACGGACGCGGACTGGATCCAAAGGTATCCTTTCCTGAAATCGAGGTCTGCCGTGTTCAAAAAGTTTGAAGGTCAGGGATTGGATGACGAGTTGTGGGATAACAGCAGGAAACATGTTTCCGACTCGGCGCTGTTCAAGGACTGCCCGCGTACATGGGTTGTGACCAGGACAACTCGATTGAGGTGACGGAGAAGTTGGCGGGCCACAAGAAGTTGTCCGTCGACTGGAGAAACAAGGTTCTCTCCGTGTTGAATGGAAGCAGACTGAAGAGCCGGGAAGTCGCACTTGCCGAAGGCGTCGTTCAAATTAAATGGAAAGACACGGGGGACGTGACATCCATCGCGCCGTTCGCCAACGACCCTTTAGAGGCGGACATCAGGGGCGCGGAGCTGAAGGAGGCAGTGGCTGCCACAAAGAGCCACACGTTCGTCCTCGATCTCTGCGAGCCGGTTAACCTCAAACTGTGGAAGCCCCAAGCGTGGGAGACTTTGAATTCCTATCTTCAGACGTGGTGTCCCTCGCATTGGACTCTCGTTGTTTCCGTGCCGCGGCAGCACAACCTGTCATTTCTCGCCAGCATGCACCATCTTTCTTTCGTCAAGCTGTTGGAAGGGAAGTGGGTGCGGAGAGTGCAGCAAAAAAAAAGCTTCCCCGTTGGGAACAATTTGTACACGGAGGAAGACCGCATGTACATCCTCTTCAAGGGTGACGATCTGCGCGTCAACAAGTCCGTGGTCTACGAGGGAAACCTGCCCACGGGTACCGCTGCTGCGGTGCGATTGCCTCAAAGGGTCACCTAGACGGATGTGTCCGAGATTCCTTTCACGCCTTGCGACTGGTCGCTGGTGGCGCCTGAACGACAGGGCAGCGTCTACGGGGATATGGAACGCAATCCGACCCAATTCGTCGGTCTTCTTGATTTTCTTGGCAAGAAGGGAGAGGGTGTCGTGTTCCTTGGGAAACCGCATGCGCGAAGCGTCTGGGAGCTTCTGAAGGCCGGCCGGCACGTTGTCGCAATGGAAGGGAACTCCGACCTCTTGCAATTCACGATGCAGGTGGTGAAAAGCGAGGTCAATTCGAGTGGGCACAATTGTGAGTTCATGGTCGTGAGGCCAACACGGGATAAGGTGTGGCGCAAGAAGACGAATATGTGGTTCAAGTTGAGCGAGAGGAAGAGGAACAAGATATACGATTTCTTGTTCCTTCAAACGCGTCCGAGGAGGGACACTGACGCCAAGTACATCCGCCGGAAGGACCACATGTTGGCACTGCTCGACAACTACCACTTCGCCTCCCGAAATGAACGCGAAGATGTTTATCGAAAGGCTGCAGTCGCTGTACTTCGTGGAGTCCGAGGAGCAGTTGAAGTTAGCCAGTTACGCTTCCCTGATCTCCACTGACGACGAGGAAGTCATAGGTGTGGAGTTTGTTGCCAACGCGAAGGAGGAGGAGAGCGACACGCAGAGCATTGACCTGCAGTACGACCCGCGTCCGGCGGACCACGGCCGAGGGTCCTCGTCGGCCGGTCCATCACCAAGCGCTGCAGCCCTCGTGTCACCATTGACCAAACCGGCGCCGGGCACCACGCCGATGAAGTTGCTAGAGAGACTTAGAGCTCTGGCCGCCCCCCCGCGCGCTTTGCGTCCCGGGTCCGTTGTCCCGCCCGATCATCCGTCTTGGAAGGATGACAACATCCACTTCCTGCTTGAACCGCAACATCATTCACCTGAGCAGGACTGGGGCCATGACATGGTTTGGCATCCGGGAGTCATCCAGCCAGCGATACGAAATGGCGAGTGGGTCATGGCCGTGGCAATCCCGAGCGCGGGATGGGTGTCATTCCCACGCGAGTCGAAGTCCAACTTCCTGCTCCTCGCCAGGATTTCAATCCTCCAGAAAGTGAAGGTCGAAAATGACACTTTAGCACCCGGTGACCTGTCCCTCATTTCCACTGCCGGTCGACTGTTTGACGAGCGTCAGGACAAGTGCTGGTTGGAATTGACGGAGGACTACTACGAGCTCGACACGAGTCCGTCGAAGGGCGTGGTGGACTGGAAAGTGCCCCCTCCCAGTGGACCGAATGGTGGTTCCGGGGGGGGGTCACCTGGAAGCGGAGGGGATGGGGGTGGCGACGTAGGGGGTGGCAAAGGAATCCCACCTATGGGGGAGAGAGGGTCTCACGGCCGCAACACAACACCGGGAGGCAGCGCCGGGGTGGCGGGTTTCGCCGTCGACCGGACTCCGTCGACAGGCACCCGGCCCGAGCACACGACACACTCCGCCGACCCCCAGACTTCGTCCGTGGGCTCAASGAGGGACACGTTGGCAGCCTTGGTTGCTCTGGGCAGTCGCTCGGCCGGAAAGCCGAAGTCCGCCGGGATCCAAACTACGTCGGGTGAGGAGCCGCCAGAGCGGTCCGGAATGCGAAGCTGCTCGGGGTCGGGGGATCCAAGCACGGATCGAGAATTTCGCAGCATTGCGGCGCAGGACGGAGACTTCGGAACGGTGTCGCCTGAGCGGGAGCGACGGCCGCAAGGATTGCAGCGGGAGGCTGCAAGTGCAGGGTCCGGCGACACGGAGACCACGAAGTCCGTCGAGATCCGAACTTCTTCGGGYGGGGTTTGTCGGCCAGGGATTGTCGTGCCGTTGAGAGGGGCAGCGTGCACGGGGACGGAAGGGCGGTCCTCGCGATTCGGCATGGGTACCGCGGAAGGGGACGAGTTTCGTGGGAGAGAAGTAGGGGAGGAAATGGAGGAACAAAAGGGAGCGCAAAAAGGGGAGGAAGAAGGGGAAGAAGAGGTGGAAGGGGAGGAAGCGGGAGAAACGGAGCTAATTGATTTGTTTGAAGGAAGGGAGGGTGCCGGGTCTGGAGAAGATGGAGTGGAACGCAGTGAGGACGATGCCGGATCTGGAGAGTCGTCTGACGAGTTCGGACAACTGTACGGAGAGCATCACGAGGATGATGTCGACGACGATGCCACGGCAATAGAGATGGAGACACAAGTGGTCAGCAACCTTTCCGCAGAGCCTGAAGATTATGCGGTCCGGCCACTGACGTCTGCTGTCGACTTGCAGCACCGGTTCGACGAGGCTTCCGTCGCTATCAGCCCGTCTCAAAAAATTCGACGTATAAGCATCGACGAAGTTATCGACGGTATCCTCAGTGACCACAACGTGTTTGCCCGCCCGTCCGCAACTGCCAACGTCGCATCTTCCGTGGCAGCTGCCCTCGCTTCGTCGCCGCCGAAGTCTCTGGTGCTGCAGGCCACCCTTGCCGCCGAAGGAAAGGCGAGTGCGGTGGAGGACAGCATGTGACGTCCCCAAAAAAATCGAGGTTCGACGGTCAGACTCTCGACGTGCTCGCTTTGCCAGCGCCAAATTCACCATCGAAGGAGCGGAGAGAGAAACAGATTGGTAAGTCGTGAAGAACGCCTGCGCATCCGGATGTCGCCGGATTACAGTCCGCGCTATACACACGACGACTGTCCACACTGTCTGTGCATACGAGAAGTTCCGGATGTCGGCATGCTACAGCCAGCAGCCCTTCCTACTCCAGCTCGTCGGCCTATCTGTGACTCGGCCGGGTTGCTAGTCGCGGGCGGCGAAAACTTCGTCCAAAACCTTACACTCCATCCAAGGAAGGATCTGCCCTGGCTGAGGAAGTGGCCAAGGTGCTAAGAAAGTGGCCAAGTACATGGACTGACAGTTTTCCCTTATCGGGAATAGTACCAGTTTTAGTCCGCCGGGATCCGAACTTCCTTTGTCGATGCGTGATGTGGTCAGTCTCAGTGGGGCTGGTGTGTTGAAAAGTCCGCCGCAGTCCGAACTTTGGGGATTGCTGGCCTCCGGCTTCTGTGAGTTGTGGTGGTTTTCCTTTGCGAAGTGCGGGGGGTGATAAGCTCGAATGTTGCAGTCGTTTTGTTTTCCAGTCGCATAACCGCACCTGGGTGCACATGACCACGCGAGATCAGGTTCCTGTAGTTGGAGAGGTCTTGCTTGACTGTAGGCCAAGGTGCTAAGAAAGTGGCCAAGTACATGGACTGAGAGTTTTCCCTTCTCGGGAATTGTGCCGGTTTTAGTCCGCCGGGATCCGAACTTCCTTTGTCGATGCGTGATGTGGTCAGTCTCAGTGGGGCTCGTGTGTTCAAAAGTCCGCCGCAGTCCGAACTTCGCGGATTGCGGGCCTCCGGCTTCTGTGAGTTGTGGTGGTTTTCGTTTGCGAAGTGCGGGGGTGATAAGCTCGAATGTTGCAGTCATTTTGTTTTCCAGTCGCACAACCGCACGTGGGTGCACATGACCACGCGAGATCAGGGTCCAGTGGTCGGAGAGGTCATGCTTGACTGTTGCGTCTGTACGAATGTATGGTTCTCATTTTTCGTTTTATCTTTCTTCTGTTGTACAGGGGTGGTGTCGTCTCGAACACGGAGGTCCTCCAAATATCCAGAGCACATATTGCAGAAAGTCCCCGGGTTGAGTAAAAAACACAATGATATGTTGAAGGCATCAGGGGCTGATGTCGAGATCGGGAAGAAGGAATACACCGTTGCCATTGAGGAATGTTTTTCCCTTTTTGCCCCAGAGAAAGGGACATATCCACGATCTGTGAGTAGGGGTCAGGCCATGTATGAGAAGTACTTAGCAACGCGTCATGCACCGGGGGATAATGTCTAGAACTCCGTTTCTCACTACCCCACGTGTCCTTTGCTCGATGTTGTGCAGTGCGGGCAACAAGTGCAGCACCCGGAAAAAGTTTCGTTGCGACGATTGCGTCTCTAAGCTTGCGGGTTTTTGATTATAATTTTACGAGGCTCGGTGCCATCTAACACTATTCTCTCTATACTTGGCGATGGTCAATTTCGGATTGCAGCAAAAAATCTCCTCACCCTCTTGCATGTCAACGACAGGGTGAATGATGAGGTGGTCAATTTCTATATGGCGTTGTAGGGGTCGACCGCATGTGGGTCACGCGACATCTCTTCATGCCTTCAAGTCTTCAGCTTTAATTCGTTCTTCTTCAACAAATTGCGACTTCAAGGACACGGTGGGGTGCACAGGTGGGTTAAAAACGTAGATTTGCTTCGTTACGATATTATCTTCGTTCCTGTCCACAAAGATGATGATCACTGGATCCTCGTTTCCGTCAACATGAGAGAAGATCTTCTCGAAATTTTTGATTTTTTTCCTCGCATTGTAGCTGATTCTAGTTTTTACCTTACTGTTTTCGGGTTGATTGTGCAATATTTGGAACATCAAACATCACATAGGCGGTCGGGTAGGAATTGGAAGTCCATGGTAGGAAATGTTGTTGTGGATGGAGTTCTGAGACAACTGGATGGAACAAGTTGTGGTGTGTTCATGTTGATGTATGCGACGTTGTTGCAACATGGAGATCGACCGCCTTTCCGGTTCTCTTGTAAAGATATTCCGCTTCTTAGACGAAAATTAACATCATGTGTCTTAGAACATCGTTGTCTTTGATGGATTTGATTGACTTTGAAACTTTTTTTTAAGGTGTTCCATTCGTTGATCGTTAAATTTCGTAAATCGAGATATTATTCAACTGTCCTTCTTCCAGAGGCATTGCTTTCTTTTATCGTTCCGAGTTCGCATTATCTACGACAAGCTCAATGCATGTCCTGCGTCATGTATGGGCTTTGTAATCTATGTCACGTAATGTTCCATGTTCCGAATTCTATTGAAGTTGAAGTATTGTGTTCCATGTTTCGAATTCTGTTCAACTGGAAGTGTAAACATGATTGTGAAACTGGTTGGTGGATGAATGAAAAATCTCATCTTATGTGAAATTGGTCAGTGGATGCCCAAACTTTCTTTGCATGACCATTCAAAATGCGGATATTCATCGTGATGGAGCACAATTTAATCTAATTCAATTTAATTACATTGCTATTTTTGTTTACAAAAGTTCAACAACTATGGATGTCAGCAAACTTTCGCATTTGGGGCGACTGGGCGGGCATGCCCATGTACAAACACTGCAGTCAAAAATGAATTCGTAAGAAAGAGGAAAGTGTCACAATATAGTTACTGTATCTTTCATCACATTTATGAAATTGAAGTTTGACAAGTTAGGATCACGACACTTCCGCACAGGGTTCCCTTTGGCGTGCCAATCGTTGTTCGTTTATGAAGTTTGACTAGTATGGATCCCAACACACTTTCCCACAGGATCACCAACATGTTTTTGAAGTTCAACAAGTAAGGATCCCAACACACTTCCACATTTGGGATTTCATTTATAAAGTTTCACAAGTATGGATCTCAGCACGCTTCTGCATGTGGTTAACCCCTGGATGGGCATGCCTACATTGCTTAGGCTGCAGCCAAAAATTAATTCGTTAGAAAGAAGACACAGTATAATGTCCTATTTTAACGAATAACGTGTTAATAATGTTCCCCGCAGAGATGTATGCAGGATGACAATTTATCTAATTAATGTCACGACGAACAGTTGCCGGAATCCAATCCTTTCCCTGTATCCCTCTTGAGTAGTCACTTTGTGTCGACGTTCCTAGGCATCTGGTTGAGCAGCGTGTCTAAAGGTGGGCAATCCGGCCCACCCAAGTCAACGCCAAACTTGCCAGCCCCTGCACATTATTTATCCTCGCATGCAACGAGCCTTACACCCGACTTGATCTGGCTGATCCGGAGACATTTAAGGAGATCCTCCGTAACTCCTCAGAAATTATTTAACGTTACAGACAGGACGACAATCACAGCGAGAATCAACACCGAGTCCCCACCAGAAATAACGACAATTTCGTCAAAACGGACATATTATATTTTTTGAACGAAATTGAAATTGAGTTTTTGGGTCGAAATCCGGTCCAAAGTTTTGGCTCGGGGGGTCCAGCGTTCCTGGAACGCCGGACCCCCTAGATGTATCTGACCTCAAGCAAAGAAAAGATACATCTAGGGGGTCTGGCGTTCTGGGAATGCCGGATCCCCAGGAGCTAAAAATTTGGATCGGATTTTGACCCAAAAACTCAATTTCGATTTCGTTTAAAAAATATAATATGTCTATTTTGACGAAATGGCGGTTAAATATTTAGAGACGGTCTGGTAAGTGTCTGTTCAAAGGGCTGGCATGCCCTGCATGACCTCTATTGCGCAGCAGGCACGAATCCCCTGCTGCGGCGGACAAGCGCGGCCAAGTCTGCAGCCGCGGACGAGGCCGCGAGCTCGTGGACGCGCAGCTTTGGCGCCACGTGGCGGCCAGAGGGGAGGGGGGTTCGGGATTCGGGAAGCGCCATTCGGCGGCGCATCCCCGGACCCACCCACCCCCCAAAAAAAATAAATGGAAAAACAACATCTTTTGGTTGGGGGGGTTGGGCTGCCGACGAGAAGAAATGAAGAAAAAAAAAAAGAATGCGTTTTTTCTTTTCTTTTTTTTTCGTTGATTGATTGATTGATTGATTGATTGGTGGGGGCGGGTTCGCCCCGCCCCGCCTTTGATCGATTGATTGATTGATTGATTGATTGATTGATTGATTGATTGATTGATTGACTGGTGGGGGAGGGGTCGCCCCACCCCGCGATTGATTGATTGATTGATTGATTGATTGATTGATATATTTATTTATTTATTCGATCTAGCTTTTTTTCGTTGATTGGTTGATTGATTGATTGATTGATTGATTGATTGATTGGGTGGTGGGGGAGGGGTCGCAACACCCCCCCGCCACCCACCATGCGGACGCGCGGCTTTGGCGCCACGTGGCGGCTAGAGGGGAGGGGGGTTCGGGATTCGGGAAGCGCCATTCGGCGGTGCATCCCCGGACCCACCCCCCCCCCAAAAAAAAAAATGGAAAAACAACATCTTTTGGTTGGGGGGGTTGGGCTGCCGACGAGAAGAAATGAAGAAGAAAAAAAAGAACGCGTTTTTTATTTTCTTTGTTTTTCGTTGATTGATTGATTGATTGATTGATTGATTGATTGATTGATTGATTGATTGATTGATTGATTGATTGATTGATTGATTGACTGGTGGGGGAGGGGTCGCCCCATCTCGCGATTGATTGATTGATTGATAGTTTGATAGTTTGATTGATTGATTGATTGATTGATTGATTGATTGATTGATTGATTGATTG